GTGATCCACCCGCCTCGGCCTCCCAAAGTGCTGGGATTACAGGCTTGAGCCACCGCGCCCGGCCTTGTTTGTAATATTTATTGTCTGCATAAGACTGTGGGTCCCTCCTAAGCAGAAACTATCTTATTCTTTTTTGTATTCCAAGCCCAAAGTGCAATGTCTGACACAGAGAAGACAATAAATGTTTGATAAAATAACAAATAAATATTTTATACTAGCCTTCTAAGGAATAGTAGCTTGGTCAAAGAGAAAACAGAAATATCCATGCCCACATTTTTTGGTCTAATACTAAGGAATTGTTGGAGTAAATGTGAGCATCTATGGGGAATATTTTACAGTATTAAAATTATGTAAAAGTATAGATAGATACAAATAAGAATCTAGATAGACTGACATAGAAAGATGTCTGCAAAATATTATTTAGTTTTAAAAGTAGTTTTAAAAACTACAATGCAGGTAGTATGCTCACATTTGGTGGGGGAAAAAAAGATGTATTAGGAGAATATTTGCACAGAACAGATGGGTAAGTGGCACTATGAAACTCACAAGAGTTATAAATAATTGCAGTGGTTCTGTCTCTGGGAATATAATTACAGGAATCTTTCAAACTTATTTCTTTTCCATCTGTATTTTCTGATTTTTCTACCAAATCTTTTAACTAACAAGTTTTTTAAGTATCCGTAGAGAAATTTGGAAGGGACCTCGCCAACATATTTGCCATTGAAATAGTGAACTGAATAATGGCAAAAGTTGTAAGAAAAAGGATCCTCTTGCCTACTTAACAGCGGCACCCTCACCAACAAAACTAGCACAGCCCTTCCCTCCATTTGTGCAGGGAAACAGGAATCTTCTGCAGCCCAGAGGCATGGGAAAGCAGAGCCTCCACCCCTGAGGGAACCCTAGGAGGGAACTCCCTTCCCCAGCGGAGGAAGTTTTACCTTAGGCCCCGGTACAGGCCTTTCTCAGTAAGGCCTACTTCACGGATGCACGGTCCTTGTGACCGTGGTGGCATGTTTTTCAGTAACAGCAGAAATAAGATATAAGTATTTAAAAGCATTCCAAATTCAAAGAAAACCCAGATAATGGAGTCCTATGAATGTGTCTGGCCCCAAGTCAAAAAAAGATGAAGTTTTATGTAAGTATTTGAAGTGGAATCTACCCAATGTCCTAAGGCTTTAAACAGATAAAATAAAAAACAAACAAAAAATAGTGTTCCCTGCAAATCCAGAAAATAAATGTTTAGGTTATATTTCAGTCTAATTGGACTGAGAAAATGTGCTTGGTATTATCCAGGCTTCAGAGAGTTGTTCGCTTGGCAAACACAGGAGAATTCTGTGAGTGACATCTCTTTGACAGGCGTTGGACGGGATACTTTGCAGGTAAAAGCAGGGATGAGGTTGGGGCTCTGACTCTGATTCTTACCCGTCAGTGACCTGGTCAAGTTCTTTACTCCCTTTGAGTCTCAATTTCCTCATTCATAAAACAGAAATAATGTGGCTTTCTCTGAATATGACAATACAATGAAATAAGGTAATATACTGAAAACTGCCTGACACATGCCAAACTCTCAATAATATTATCATTGATGGCTGACTTTGGTCAATTTTCCTATTTGCCAAAAATTCAGAGCTTTTAATTTTTCAGAACATATGCAATAACAATGCCACCATCAAATTCAGACCACCTGAAATTAGAACACAGGGGCCAGACTAAGGTGTACATGTTCAGCTGTTAATACAATCCACAGCAACCCACGTGATATCACCAGTTAGCTTAATCTTCTGCTTTACAGGACTCTACTGACCTTCAGAAAATAATAACCAACAAACTTTTCTTCATTATGAACCTGAAATCCCTTTTTAGAGCTATCTCTTTTTTAAATTTTTTTAAATCTAAAAATCATGATATTCCCTTTATATTGATAAACAACACTCTTAATTTCAAGGGTTTATAGTTTATGAAGTCCACATCACTTTTCCATGGGCAAGTAAATTAAATACCTTGTAGCTATTTCTAGAGCTTGATTGAATGAGTCGCATAATACTTTATAAATTTCTGCTGAATTATACACAGTTTTTCTTAGTTGGAATCTTTTCTTAAATGGCTTAAAGTTATGAGACTACTCTTTGCCATGGTTTATTACTCTTTGTGGTGGTTTATTAGAAGAATATATAGTAAAACTGCTTCCTGTCAGTCTTATATTGCATAGTTTTCAGAAAAAAAAAAAAAGACTTAGTTCTCAGAATCCAAACCTAATCTTATATCGATACTCTATTATATTACCCTTATTATCAATGTCCTGAAGTCAGTACAGATTGACATTTGATTCCCTATTTGTCCATGGTCATGAGAGTCCAATTTAATAAATGAACAGTAGTGCTTGGTATAAAACAAGATGCGCATGTATGCATTTTACTCATGTCTAGATTCAGAAATCCAAGTGCAATGGTCTTTTGAGTAGGAATGAACTTTCACCTTCTCTAAACCATCCTCTTCTTTCACAGTTGGAGAAAGGAAACATCCAAGAGTTGAGATCAGAATGCAGCCTGCCTGACCCCGCATGCTACACTCGGCTACCACATGGCTGGGCCAGAGGTCCCCAATCTGGCCAGCAGAAGGACCCAGTTCCTCCAATGCCCACGTCAAGCTTGTGAATATACACAGTAAGAGCTTCCAGAAAGCTTCCAGGCTGCTTGGGAGTTATCATGAGCTTGATATGTAGATTAAAACATCACAGAAGCAGCCCTATCCATGATTTCACCTCCGATCCACAAAGCCACTCTTAAAAATCCAGCCAGGGTAAGAGTGCCCAAGCTCAGACTTGCAGAGGGCAGGCACCTCCACCTGGCTCCAGCAAACACCATATCAAACAACCAGGAAACTATAAAGTGACACCACTCCTGTGCAAACAAAGCCTCCCAGGAATGCACAAGAAATTCTAAATGGAAAACAAACCAGAACCCCTCACATTTAGTCACTGAGCTTTAAAATCCTTGGCAACAAAAAAGTAAAATAAAATTAAAAAATTCTTGCCATAGCATTCAGTAGCAGGTTTGCTTTCTAATTCCCAAACTAACTCACTGGCAACTACCATACTTTCTAAGTGAGCGAAAGAGCTCATATTTCCACTCATTTTTTAAGGAAGGAAATTGTGACCAGGGTAACATACTACATGACATGTTGACAGAAAAGTCTGAACGAATTTTGAGGTGCGAGCTAAATTCCAAGACAAGGCAAAATTCCAATTCTTCAGATCCTTTCTGTAATGGCCCTTTCCTTCGTGAAAAAAGGAATGAGGGATATCCAGGCAAAGGAGACCATCAAAGGACAGGTTCCATGTATGTACATTAAGAGGGTCCTTCCTTTTTTTTTTTTTTTTTTAAGACAGTGTCTTGCTCCATTGCCCAGGCTGGAGTGCAGTAGCACGATTTAGGTTCACTGTAACCTCTGTCTCCAAGTTCAAGTGATTATCCTGTCCCAGCCTCCTGAGTTGCTGGGATTACAGGTATGCACTACCACACCCAGCATACTTTTGTATATTTAGTAGAGACGGAGTTTTGCCATGTTGGCAAAGCTAGTCTCAAACTCTTGACCTCAAGTGATCTTCCCACCTAGGTGTCCCAAAGGGCTGGGATTATAGGCATGAGCCACCATGCCTGGTTCTTTTTATACAAAGGAGAGGAAACGGATGGCTCCATTTTCCCAGCCACAACCACAAAGAGACGTAGTAAACTCGATAAGCAAGGAACCCCTCTGACATATGAGTGCGTTATCTCCACCAGGAGCAGCCATCTGCATATTTTCCCTCCTGTCCTCTCACCTTCCATTGCCTCTCTCCCAGGGAAAAACATGGCACCTCTCAGGGGCTCAGTTTCCTGATCTAGAAAATGAGGACAGTTGTCCTAGTGAGCATCCCATGAAATGACAGAAGGTCGCAGGGGCTCCTAACTCTGCTTCCACCACAGCAGCAACATTTTCATCTTTTTACATCTGGGCTTCCATGTTGCATTTCATTTCATGAAAGGGCTCTACTGCTAGAACACTCCTAGTATCCCTCATCAGCCAAGGGCTTACCCATCTCTACGCACTTCCCCCTGGATTTGTGAAGGATCCCAGCAGCCCAGCCATGCAGCAGAACATAGCTGCTCTGTAGAATCCATCTGCAGCCAGGGCAGCAGAGTGGCTCAAGAGGTGCCCCCCACCAGATGGAAGGAGAGGGTCTTCTCTGCACACAAAGTTCCTAGCCCTGACATAGCCATAAGACAAGAAATGCAACTCACCTGCCTCCGCTCATCGGGGGCCTTCAGAAAAAGTGCATTAATCACTGCAATAGTATAGGTTTGGATTTCTTGATCTGACCTGTAAAAAGACACAGAACAATCCACAAAATCAGAACAGAAAGTTAGAAGAGGCCAGTCCTGGGTCAAACCATGAGAAGGCTCAAAATCGTCCCCCCTCCCCAAAAAAGTGAGAGAGAAAGGCAGGGCCTAAAAAATGCATTTAGCACTGAGAATGCATTTCCACCATCACAAGGCTGGAAACATGGTAAATATACAACTACTATCACTAGCTGAACAGTACACTGCTCAGTGCTGAACACCCAGAAATATAGGCAGCCTTCTCTCTTATTCGGATTAAAAGCATAAACCTAGGGGAAGTTGTAATTGACATACTACTACTAGTAGTATGTATATACGTATGTATATATGTATGTGTAATTTTCTGTCTGATACATGAAGTATATCAGGGAGTAGTTTTGGATGTCTCCACATTCTTGGGCTAATTTAAAGCAAATTACTTTGTCTTCATAGCTCTATTACATATTCTAAAAATCTATTTCCAAATATAAACATTTTAATAACAAAAAGAACAGGTTATTGAATCTGATTTTCACTGGAAAGAAATCAGAAATAAATGAAACAAAGATCTAATGTAAAGCATGTCGTAAACAGTAAATAAGGAGAACTCAAGATATAAACAAAGAGTGACTTATGAGCTAGATTTAGGAATAATTTATCAGGCCAATGAGAGAGAGGTGGAGCTTAGAACTAGGCTAGGATAGGGTACAAAGCCCGGTTCATCACAGGCTGGCCGTGACCTTGGACAAGTTCACGGGTATCCCTAAGGCACAGTTTCCTCATCCACAACATGGGGTTAGGAACACTTATTTCATGGGATTGCTGTGAAGATAAAATGAAATTATGCATACAAAATCCTTAGCACAGTTCTTGGAGAATAATAAACTCTCCACTTTGTTAATGTGCTTTGTGATGAAGATGTGTGCCTTCGAGATGCCCAGAAAAGACACAACATAAAAAGTTAACATGTTTCACATTCAAAGGAAATGTGAAACTGGTCTTATTTCTAGAGAAGCTACCTATATTATCATCATTTTGAAGAATTATGATTCTGAGACCACAATCACTGAGGCCAACGCAATCCACAGCTTCTGTGACTTAAATTTTAAATGCTGGTCATCCTCTCACCTCCAAATGAAAGAAATATAATCTACTTTGGTAGTTTATATTATAATCACAACAGTTAACATTTCAGAAAACCATTTCCACCTTGCATCACCAACCTAAATTGAGCAAATCAGATTTCCTCTTGAGAATTTGTAATTGTGACCTAATGGACCAGGGCAAGATCTAGTGGGAGTTGGGTCATTGTAGTACCAACCAAAATGCTAGAGAAAAAGACAGCTGCTGAGGACTCCAAGGAAGCTATGGTTTCTCTCCATTTTTTTTTTTTTTTTAATATGGGGCCTTGCTCTGTCACCAGGCTGCAGTGCAGTGGTGCAATCCCAGCTAACTGAAACCTCCGCCTCCCAGGTTCAAGTGATTCTCCTACCTCAGCCTCCCAAGTAGCTGCAACTACAGGCGTGCATCACCACACCTGGCTAATTTTGTATTTTTAGTAGAGATGGGGTTTCACCACGTTGACCAGGATGGTCTTAATCTCTTGACCTCATAATCTACCTGCCTTGGCCTCCCAAAATGCTGGGATTACAGGCATGAGCCACCACACCTGGCTGGTTTCTCTCCTTCTTAAGGCTTAGCTACTTATGTCATTTCTGGATTCTGTCAGTACCCCTGTATTGTTTCAATAACCTCCTTTCCTGTGTAAGAAAGCTCACATTATTATCACTGCAACCCAAAATACTTTAATTTCTAAAATAGCACTGTACACTAGACTCCTTCTCAGGTTGAAGTTACCTAAGGGAAGGAAGACGGGGAAAAAAGCCCCAAGGACTGCAGGCTGCAGGGACAGCTATCTTACTTCCATTTTATAGCTCGAGCCACTAGAAAAAAAAATCCCATATTTTATTATAAAATACACAAGAAGGTCACTAGAATCACCTTAAGCATAACTAAGAACAAAACCTGCCTTTAAGAATTCCTAGTAAAAATGCATAACATTACATTTCTAATTAACTATGAAAATACTCATTATATCACAGAAAACATTAATTTATATGGTTTAGGAAAGAGAACGTAAGAGAACAAATCATCCTGTTTTATCTTATTAAAAGTAAAACTCTACCAATATCTACCAATATTCATCAAAATGGAGAGCTTACCATGGGCCAGTCATGGGGACAGGCAGTGCCAAGAACCAGCTTGGAGCTCAATGAGAGGTAGGGGCTAAGGGAAAGTAACCATGCCATTCTAGTGTGACACATGGTTTGGTTATATGCCAAAATGAGGTTCTTTTTTGCTTCTTTTTGAGATGGACTCTTGCTCTGTCGCCCAGGCTGGCGTGTAGCAACATGATCCTGGCTCACTGCAACCTCCACCTCTCAGGTTCAAGCAATTCTCTGCCTCAGCCTCTTGAGCAGCTGCAATTACAGGCACCCGCCACCATATCTGGCTAATTTTTGTATTTTTAGTGGAGACAGGGTTTCACCATTTTGGCCAGGCTGGTCTTGAACTTCCGACCTTGTGATCCACCGACCTCGGCCTCCCAAAGTGCTGGGACTACAGGCGTAAACAACTGTGCCCAGCCAAGATTCTTTTTCTGTACATTTAACCAAACTATAATAACACAAAACGTTTCCCAGTGCATTACTGTGGCCAACTTCCTGGAGCACTCCTCCTCCTCAGAGCATCTTGGCATGCTTACCCTTGCAGATGTGGAATGAGCTGGCCGATAGTGATCTCCTGTGCCACTTTCTGGTAGAGGTCATGGCTATTGAGCACCATCGACTCCAAAATGGCCAAGGACCGCTGCAGGATCGAGATGTCTATGGCTGACTTGTTCACAAAACTTGCTATCTGAAAATCCAAGTGGGACACAATTGACTGCTTGTGGTAAGTAGAGCAGAGGCATAGAGAAGGGAACAAATGAAGCAAATCGGGAACTCATTTAAGAAACACCAGGCACTGAGGATTACCTGGAATTACAGCAAAATAGCAAGAAATCCATTGACCCAGGGATTGTTCATGATATCACTACCAAGGATGATTTATCTTATCTCTGTAATTCACTGATATGCAAATTTTTTTGAAAAAGACAGGGCTCCAAAGATTATTCTTTGTTTTTCCCAGGACAATTCTCCTGAGTTTCATCTTTTAGGGGCAGACAATTTCAACACATACATTGTAAGGATTCCTATGTTTCTCTGGGATGGTAATTTCAACGTATGCTAATTGCCATTCTTCTTACATTCCCAGGCTACTCCTTCATCCACAGGATCCATGACTTTTATGTGCTTATTATGTTCTTGTTACATTCTTAAGGGACTCACACAAATCTCGCTTGTCAACACAATTCAACTGGCAATTTTTCAGTCACTGGCCACTCTCTTTGCTATTCCTAAAAACTCATTACCCCTTTCATCCAATTTCTGATGGTTAAAATAAATTCTTTTCATCTCTTCCAAATTTAGCAAACAGAAAATCATTTAAATTAGTGCTAAAAGTTAAAATACTAGTTTGAGCTCCAAAATATATTCTCTAAGGAATTAACCACTAAATCCCCAAACATAATAAATCACAGTGTAAGAGGAAAATAAAATAGGGGTTAGAATAATGGATCGCAGTAATCCCAACACATGGGTACCATAAAGGTTTTATTTTAGAGCCCTCATTAAAAGTTATTACTGTCTGTTGACAACTCACAATAAAAAGCCATTATTCTATCAGCATAATGACTGCTTTCTTAAAAGCTAAATAACTTGGTTCCTGACAAGTAAACACTTGCTGCTTCCCCGCCGTCAGCACTAATTTCTCCATTTTTTGCTGCCCCATAGATCACTCGCCTCAGTTCCTCTCCATCCTTGCACATGATAAATTCATGGTGCACCGTGGCAGATCCCAGGTACTATCCGAATTCTCCCTAGTCTGCTGATTTCCCGGTGAAAGGAGAGGTGGGAGATGCAGATACCAACACTCTGCCTGCTCAGCTACATCTGGATCTCAGGGGTGGGAAATAAATAATGGGAAGAAGTACGGCGACACTATGATTTTACATTCTGAAGAGCTATTATTTTAAAATACAAACTTCAGGAAGAGTATGAAAATTTTAAGGTTCTCAAAAGACTCCTTCAGCTCTTCTCACAGCTAATAAACTTCTCCAACATGTTTATTATCCTTGGCAAGCACTTGACTTACTCCTCGCAGTCTGCTCCAGTCCACCCAACCTACCATGCTAAAGCCACCCTTCTTTCTCTAGGGCCATCCTCCTCTGACAAAAATCCAGTTACTGTCACACTGTGTGTTCAGGATTTAATACTTAACTTAGGGCTCTTCTAAACAGAGAATAAATTATCTGACTCCTCCCCCACCCCACCAAGCCATTTTACATGCTCTCAGCATAATTCTTTTTTTTTTTT